TCACACGGGCCCACCTCTCCAGCCTGTCAAGGTCCCTCTGGATGGCATCCCTTCCCTCCAGCACGTCAACCGCACCACACAGCGTGGTGTCATTGGCAAACCTGCTGAGGGTGAGCTCCATCCCATTGTCCATGTCGCCTGCACCAAAGTTTCAAATCCTTTTAAGATGCCCCAGTTGCAACATGGAGCAAAGTTTGATGCTTTCAGCATGCCATAAAGCTCACCAAGAGGCTGTTGTACCAACAAGCTCAGGCTCCAGCAGTCTGCTAGCCAGGGAAGCAGCTAGGCCAGAATGTCTGGGAGCGAGGTTTGCTTATAAACCTTGCAGCTCCTGTCGAAGAAGATAGAAAAGAGAGCTTCTAAGTGCTCCCTAGCTAACAACCCCAACTGAGAATAGAAAACTTGTGTGTGCCTGGCTTTTTTAAAAAATTCTCTATGCTGGAGGAGCTGCCGCCTTTTGTGTTGAAGGATTTCACATTCATGTTCAGTAAGGGTCCTGTGCAGACATCAAAGGAAAACATTAAACTTCCTTGGCAAGCCTTAGGCTAACTTCAGAGGATACATCACTGCATAATGTTTAGCAGTTGGATCACAGTAACTCATGGAGAAAAAAAAAAAAAAAAAAAAAAAAGAAACTGCAGGATGCCCACAAGACATTCCCTACATATTTCCATAATCAGGGACATTTCTGCTGAATTACTGTTCACACAGCAAAAAAAGTCAGCAACCAGGACAGTAACGCAGCTGTGTTTGACCTGTATCTTTCTGCTCTTTTTCCCATCCTTTTTTACTGGACACCTGGTACATATGAATTCTAACAGAAAAGGCTGACAAAGAGTTTGAATAGCATAGAGTAGGTAGAAACCAGCATCACATCTGCCACTTTGAGAAAGAGAAAAGATGCTATTTAGACCGTGAATGTCTTATGTTAGCTGTTCCTCCAGGCCCCACTAGAAAATGACGCGGAACGCACATTTCTGAAGAAAAGCCCCTCTATCTCCTTCCTGGAGGGGTTTTGCCACCATTGATTATCGAATATATATTTTTCTTAAACATTCTAAAAACCATGGGATGTTGTGCCTGGGAAGGATAAATGCAACAACAAGTATCTCTCACTTATTTTTTGGCAATTGGAAGGCGTTGAAATATGCTTTTTAACTACAGCTGCTTGGCATGGTGGTTTTGTTTTTACAGTAAAGCCAAAGAGGATTAGGACACACTGTACTAATTCCTAAGAGCAGACAGTACCTGCTCCAAAGCTTTATCTTCCAAGCAGACTGGACAAAACAGCAGCATTTCAATTGTACAGGTGGGGAAAGGAGGAACGAAGACATTAAGTGACTTACTCAAGGTCACACAGGAGTCTGTTGCAGGGCGAGGTTGAGTTCCCCAAGTCTCAGTCCACTTAGGCATTGGGAAAAGGAATGAAACAAGAGTATGTACTAAATTTGGCACAGATTTGTAAGTGATGCATTGCTATAAGGGAACAAGAACCTCCACTCATGCTAACCCAGACAGCAAAGGAATATATAAAGGAAAACTAGTTACTCACTCCACCCAATCTATCTGATCACCTTGTATTTCTTAAGTCAGTAAGACCTTTCTTGGCCAGACGATCCAACCCACAACTTAGATCTTATTACAAATCAGACATACTAAACCACTTTCTCCCTCCGGCTGCAGAAGATAAAAGGCCAAGTAAGCAGGCAACATTTTGGTAACTGGCTTCATGTAACAGCTTTGGATTTTCTTAAAAGCCTCAGCATCGATTATTTTCTTTAAATAGCAAGGGCTTATTGAGAAACCTTCCACCCATTTTAATGCACAAGGTTTTCCTTAAGCAGAAAAGAAAGCAAAAACTGCCCTGCCAAGGCATATTTGTCAAAGAGTTTCGGATACCAGGTCCTGGCAAAACACTTTGAAGTCAGGGTAAGTCAACACTGGTGCTGAAGGGCTAAGAGGGGAAACTTGGAGATGAAGAGGAAATAAAGTACGGACTGACACAGAACGATACTGGGATTCAGCTCCAGCTTCTGTTTCAGCCAACAGCATGAGCCAATGCTGCAATTTGTATGTATCCAACGCAGCTAAAAGCTCATGGCATGCAAAGCAGCACAGCTCTCATGTGGTCTCAGCACATCTTGGGGCAAAAGGAATAGAGGAATTAATTTCATCAAGCCAAATCACCAACACCCTGCTGTTATATAAAAGTCTGTTTTCTGGGGAACGTTTCCAAAGATGGTGTCATTTGGGCTGTTTTGATTAAAGTGACATAGTCAGGTTCAAGATGGGATACACTGCAGACTGAGAAACACTCCAGTTTGACAAAATCTCCCACTCCCTTTTCAGTCCTCACGGCGCTTGTTTCTTCCTTCCGTTTGCCACATTTTCATATGGAAAACAAGCACAGCAACTGCACTGCCTGGTTCTCAGATGCTAATATAAGGCTGTGATGAAAAGAATTGCAGAAGGCCTCGGGGAGATGTTTAAAACCTAACTCAAACAGATAAAAAGATGACTATTTGAGTTTGCCTGGGAAAGTTTCTACACATATTGGAAACCCCTTGAGGCAGGGACTGCCCTTCTGTTCTCAGTTTAATAGCCAGTTGTACAAATTATGATTGCACAATTACTTTTATAAGGTTTTCAATTATACAAAGAATGCATCTTATTAAGGTTTGTAACTCTGAGAAATAAAACCTAAAACCCCAAACCCTTTGCATTCAAGTTGCATGATCCAGTAGTGCTCCACCAGCAACGCGGTCCCAACAAATCTACACCACAGTCTACAATGAACTTTTAGAACGAGCAGATACAGGCACTGCAGCACACTGTAGTTAACACTTCCATGATTCAATACACATAGCCTCATATTGTGCTTTCATACCTCCCCTCCCGTGTCTACGTTATAGCAGTCAGCATTCTTGGGCAGTTGCTGCACGCCTCGACGGCTAGAAGCTCAAATTCCAAGCAGTCTGCAGCACTGGCATTGCCCTGCTGGAAGCTATTTACCTGGAAAACTGGCTGCACTGCACAGCGGACCAGAAGGAGCATGGACATGGAACAAGGAGGGGAAGGAAGCGTCAAAGGTGAAACCACTGGGCATGCATTGCCTTGTGTTTTCCCTGGCTGGGGACCAGCCATGTCAAAAAAAGCAGAGCACAAATTCCAATCCACCATAAAAAACAGTAAGTAAAACAAGTCTCCTTCTTTATTCAGTAAAGCATATTGTGTTCCAACACAAAACCCCGCTGGTAACAACTCTCCCAATGAAAAGGCAGGGAAATGACTACCCCATTTTACAGATACCTCAACTGAGCACAGGAGCCTGAAGTCACACAGCTGGTCCAAAAGGTTGAATGTATTTCACATCCAGACCTGGGCACAGACTGCTGTCGACATTTACATTTCAAAACTTCTTTCTGTTAAGGAACTGTACAACCTCCTTCTCTTTAAAAGCTTGAGGCTTTGCAGTCCTCAAGGACAGCTCTGCTAAGAACCACTGCAATTGTACCAGAACAAGAGGAGCCCCCACAAGGCCCAGAATGACTCACCAGTGATAGCCTAATACGAAGCCGGTCTATTCAGAAATTGCGAAAACCAAAGTTGTAGCAGTCTGCAATCAGCATTATTCATACCAGAATACTTAAATTCAATTGTTTGGCATGGAGACAACATCGCAGAGGTGCCAATCAACCTGGCCCATGCAACAACCAAGAGAAAAAGGAAGGAGACAGCCTCCAACTGAAGACGACAGGTCTGAGCACCCAACACGGAGAATCCCAAAGGACCTCCACAGCTGCTAAGATGTCAACCCTGTAAGGACAGATGTCCTTGGTGCAAGGTGACACATTCTAATCTTTTCTGTGCAAACAGGAACGGGGGGAAGCACTACATGCTTTCTAACGGGCAGAGCACCTCTGTCCCTTGTGATCCTGGCCTTTCTCTCAAGGCCGCTCCAAGAAGCTGAACGGGTTTAAGTTGCGTGCGTGTGCACACACACGCACAGAGCTCACAGCACAATTTCCTCTAATCTCAGCTAATAAATCTTATGGTGTGTCTGCTTTTTCTGAACACAAATTTTATAAGCTGAATAAACTTTATGGAACAGTTGATTGCCGAGGCAGCCAAAAACCTGGAAACTTGATGCCTGACCACAGCCAGGCACCGTAGGCTCCAATAGACACTCTGAGAAAGTTTAGTTTTCACACTTCAGAAAGGGATCCTCTTACTGCCCTGCTCCCTCTGCAAAGGCCCCTGACTCGTTGGCTCTGAAAGCTTTTAATTTAGCTTATCCTCAAGACCCTTCCCCTTGTGACCAACAGATCAGAAGACAGGACAAAATACTCCCACCCTCCCCAGCTCAGACCACATCCTACCATCCATCCCTTGCTTTTTCACCGCAAAGTGTCCTGTTAGTAGACTGGCAAAAATACATGGGTTTGAGCAACAACTCATCAGTCTTCAGAAAGCCGTCTTACATTTCGGTAGAAGCATCAGAGAACCTTCCCTTAAGCAGGGATTTTAGTGTAGTTGCTTGGTACAGCTCAGAGTTTAACAGAGAGAACATCTCCAAACACTTCGCCTCCAAATCACAATCATGAAACAACCCTTTGGCTATGCTGACAAGCATGTACATGAACAAGAAGTATCGGGAAGGTAATTTATGTGGTCCTGGCCATCAGTTAGTGCAGTTTTACAGGTGGAAACGAGAGGGAGGAGGCGGTATCATGGGAAGAGATAGGCCACCTGTGAGCACTCCAGAGGCCCGAATTCAGAAACCTGTCCCCTACACCTATTTTCCAGGTCACTTAAAACAAAACCAGCAGCTCACAAGTAGATCCTTTAGGCTGAGAGACCATTTTCCAAGCAAAAACTGCAGTACTGGTTAAGGCCAGGCACTTCCGCAGCAACTGACCTGCAGTGCAAGCGAACGCACCCTTCTGCTCCCCAGGGAGGAGGCGTCCGCCCAGCACCTGCGGGTGAGGTCATGGACGTACCTTGGAAATGAGCTCATCATGGTTGGCAAGATGAGCCCTGCAGTGAATGCAGCTGTAGGTCCTGTGGCACGAAGGCAGATATGCCTGGAAAGTCTTGGACCTTGTCATCTTCACCATTGGAGCCACTGAGCGCTGCGTGAATTCTGGGGTGGCCCAGGAGGCACTCCCGCAGGACGGGTCGCACGGGAAACACCGGAAGACACAGGTAAAGGCCGTGGTTTGGCAGGTGATGGGTGTGGGGCAGGCTCCACACACTGGTGACCGCTTCAGAGGAAGAGACTCGGGCAGAGGGAACGGGGGACTTCGCACAAACCTAAGTTGAAAAAAGAACAGACAGAACGCTCAGCTCACAAAGGCAACAATGGTGTCCTAGCCCACAGGACGATGTAGCCTTTCATCGAGAGAGCAGGGAAGAGTCAGAGCAGCCAGCAGACGGGTGTGCTGTCTGTGGATTAGATCAAGGAGGACAGAGTTTTATTCACAGCTCAGCCACTGACTTGCTGACTGCCCTCGCATCTTCCCGCTTCTGTTATCTACCATCTTCCTATCGCTCCAAAGCTCACAATCTCTATTCATTCTTCCAATGCTTAATGGATTTGGAAATGACTACAGAGCCACAAAGATGCTAAAAAGATTATTTTCATCAAGCCTAGTCTCCTAAACATTCCTGGGGAACTGCACACATTAAGGTCCAGCTCTGCACCACCCCTTGGAGAAGCCGGGCTCTGTTAGCTAGAGAGAAAGTCAGGACCCAGAGTCAGCCCTGCCGGCTGCTTGTCCTGCCTGACGATCTGATGTGACTGCCCAGAAGCTTGCAGGAAAGCTGGGAGCTGGACACGGGTTTCCTCAGCCACCAGGAAAGTACACCAGTCACCAAACCAGTTTTTCTCTCCATTCTGCCCTAGTTTCCACATGGGAAATGGAGGATTACTGCATCACACTCTCCTTTATAACTCCCTGCAAGCTCTGAAGGTAGAAGCTACTGTATAAACTGCACAGTAGGATTTTTTTTTTTTTTTTAAAACTCAGAACATCTGACAACAGTCAAAGCAAGGAGCAGTCTCTGAAGACTATTCTTGATAGCAAGAGACAGTTAAAATCCTATTCAGGATGGAAACACCTTTTTACAACACAACATCATCTGACAGAACCTGCAAAGCAGCTCAAGTCTGGGTCTTTTTTTCGTGGCAGAATCAGTTTTTCAGATCCCACATCTATAAACCTTACCAGCTACAAACGTTTCTTTTGAGGATGGAAGAAGCATAAAGGATAAAGGAAGCAGCTCCCCCGATACATGGTGTGCATGCATGCTCTAGAAATTAATCACAAACTCCCATAGGACTTGCCTTTCCATGAAACATGTGATTCTGTTCAGTTTCTGAGTCTGCACTTTGTGTATCAAATACTGGAACAATACCAATGCCCCCCCCAAAAATAAGAAAAACAAGAAATTAGAACTCCACACCTGACCTGCAACGGAAATTTCTGAAGTGGACAAAACAGAAAAGTACAAGAGCTTAAGAGCCGGTCTCTAAGCCGGTGTGAGTAACTTGCCTGAAGCATAGCTGATAATCTTCCAGGTTAGAATAAAGCTAGCCTGGGTCACTACACTGCTAAAATAGCTCCACGGAGTTTGCATGTTAAGCTGGCTCTGCTGCTGCTCAGTGGGATGTGCCTTCCCAGACAGAGCACCAGCCACACGCTCAGTTCAAGGTATGCTGCAGAGAACTGGTGGACTGGGACTAGTCTAAGCAAATACATCTCTCTGGCTTGCTAAAGGGGAAACTGTCAAAACAGCGGGATGGAAATCAGAAAGTCAACTGGGGAACTGAAGGCAGGACCCAAGAAAATTGTTGTAGGAGGCAGGCCTGCAGAACTCCTAAGCATCCCATTTAGATGATCTCTTTTGCCCAGTGTTAGCATCAGTCAGAAGTATCTCACCGTGACAAAACTGTCCAAGTCATACTGAAAACAACAGCAAAAATCAGACTGCGACTCCATTACTGCTGGCTGCTGGAAAGCCTCATGGGTGATCACCACCAGACAGCGAGATCTGCAGAAACCTCATCACTCAGGTACCAAAGCCCCATTTATGGAAACCCCTGTCTTCAACATTTCTGCTCCTCAGTCTTCTTGTCATTGTTGAAAAATAAGATTCAAGTTATCCAAGTTGCTTTAGCGTTTCTGAAAGCATCACCCACTGAACCTCCTGCCAGCTGGACAATCCCCGAAAGCCAGACACGCCATCTGCAAGCCTTCCAGAAAACAGCTCCTACGAGCACTATACGGGGGGTTTGTCATAGGTGCAGTCAAAGGGTGCACCGTGCTCAACAGGAGGCAGGCACCAGTAAGACAACAGGATACCCATTTTTTTCATTTTTCCGAAATATTTTTCTTCTGCTCTCCAGAAGGCAGATCCCTCACATTCAAATGGGACAAAGAATCTCACTCATCCTGCAAACTGCTGATAAAGCATATCTATCATGATCATAATAGTCAGCACTTACATAGCACTTCTCATCCTTAAAGCTCTTTGCAAACACTAACTAATCAGATTAACCTTTTCCAATTAAAGTTACAGTGAGAGCTTTGGAAGACCCATCCTGACACAGAAGGGCTCGCTTTCCAGCTTGTTAGGAACTAAACCTGCTCTTGTTCAGCCAAAAGGGGTCTTGCAAGGAATTCATCTGGCCAACCTGTAGCTAAGCAGACTGCCTGTGCACTCTTTAGTGCATAGCTTCATCTCTGGATTTCAGCAAGATCTTTTACACTAATTGCAGAAGTAAAAGAAATCAGGCAGCTTTCACTTGTATCCTGCCCCAGTTCTCCATGTGCACCAGTTTTATCAAAACTGAGTTAGCTTTGCATTAGATAGCATTGTTTTCCCCTCCAAGGTGAGGGGTGCTTTGAGTATTGAACTCTTAGGTTTGCAACAGGGCAGAAACAAGATGCAAACCCAACAGAATCCTTCCCCATTTTCTGCTGATTAGATGTAAGTGAAAGTAACGCATCCCAGCCTTCCTGAACTAACCCAGTGCCAGCCTTTACAGTCACAAGACAGCAGAACCATCCCCAAATTCCAAGCCCCTGATTCAGCAGCTGATACGCTATATCCCAGCCGTAACAGATCTCACAATTTGTGAGCCATGTGCCTTGCCCTCCAAGTGCAAGGAAGCAGGAGACTAAGTGTGCTCTTTCTGGGGCCAAATGCAATTGGATTCCAAGGCAAAGCACCAAGCCCTGTCTGAAAGAAACAGATTATGTTGGACAGACCAGCTGGAAGAAGGCGCAAAGAAAGGACTGGCAATCACTTTACCCGATTTCCAAATGAGAAAACTGTGTCTAAACCTTAGATTTCATTGATTTGTAATGAAATGGTACAATCCCCTCTTTCTCCTTTTCTTCAGCATGAATAAGTAAATATACCAACCACCAGTTTTACTACTTCCCTCCCATACTGTCTTGCCAAACATTTCTTTTCTGATCAGCTGCCTAGCACTGCAGCACAACAGCTGGAGAAAGCAGTCCACAGGCATCCTCAAAGCCAAATGGAGACATAAATGATATCCAACCAGAATAATATAAGAGCAATCCCTTAATTTGTTGTTTGCTGACCCCTCTCTTCAGGCCTCCTAAGCACCAATGCTCTAGAACAACGAGTGAAACAGGAAATACTACAACTGCGTTTATCTAACAGAGAAATGAACACACACGCGCACACAAATTATCTGCTGCGTGCAGCTTTCTGCAAAAGCATTTCATGAGCGTTCATTTATTTGACCTCATAACACATTTAACATCAGCAAAAACATTTGACCTTTTGGAAATGGACAAAAAAAAAAATATTCAAGTGAGATGGTATCAGAGCACAGATTAAGATTAATTGCAATTCCTGTCCTCAGTACTCTGCTGAGAAGGCAAAACAAACTGATCTCTCTGCTTAAGGCAGGGGAGAGAATAAAGATTTGTGAGCCAAGATCTTGGTGGGAAACCCAGGTAAGAAACTGCCTTGGAAAAAACCTTCCGATAAGGTCATATATGATAGCCATACTTTACAAAGGCACTACCTTCATACAGCATTCAGCCTGACAGCCTGATCGCTTCTGTATGCCATCTACCAAGAGCTCTGTCCTCATCACAGTAAGGGAGAGGAGGGAAAAACAATAGGAAATGCATTCTTACATCCTATGAGCATGGCCACTAGCTTATAAGGACCTATTTCTGTCTTTAATATCATCTCAAAATGTATTAAATAGGATCTGTGGCTCTCAGCAATGCAAAAACAAACCTACGGTATTTTTTTCTATCCTAGTGGCAAACACATTTGAATTAAAATACATTTAACAGCTAACAGTGCATTCATTCTACTGTAGAACAAAGGCATGGGGATGACTTTAGGCTGTGCCTCTGGTTTTTCAGAATGATGAGTTAATATTCATCAGCCTCACTGACAGTGGGCATTAGTGGAGTCATTTCATTAACTTAAAAAAAAAAAAAATAGAAAACCAACCAGCTTTGATTACTTTATCACCGCGCCCAATAGTGTTAGAGAGATGAGTATCTGTCACCAGCAACATAACCCAGTATTTTTCTTTTATCATTCTTCAAGAGAAATTTATCTCTGGAATGGACACACTCAAGTCGATGGAACAGAAATCTGTGCCTACTAATTAGTTCACAAGAAGTCAGAAAACTGGTTTAGACAAAAGGAAAGAATTCTAGGGAAAAAGCTTATCAACATCATTTATTGTTGTTATCGGTGAGAGAATCAGCTGAATGTACTGCTTGCACACACTGCGTATGTTAGGGCTGCCCTGCTTAATCCTGCTAAGTTTTAAGCAGGTGACACCTCCATGAAGGAAAATCCAGGACACACATTTTGCCATTCAGACAACCTTTTGGTTCAATATTCACCCTCCACCTGTCCAACAGCCACTTTTCACATAAAGCTGTTAGCAATTCAGGAAACACAAAAAAGGAGAAATGCCAAGTCTGTGCCTAACACTTGCTAGACAAGGCTAGTGCTTGTACAAGTCCATATGCCACAATGGCAGAGAACAAAAGCTATCACACACAAGGCTAATTTTGCATAACGCATATGTGTGCAATGCGGCTCAGACGCAAATGTTCCTGTTCATTCTGACAGGACAAACAACAGGTTTCTTGGGTCTGAGGGTTTGTTTTATGGATTATTTCATTTTTAAGATAAGAAACTTTAGTCAGTTAAATACTTACTAGAACACAGCAAACGCTACAGAAAGCTGCCTGTGGTAGCTTTGAAAAAAGTCTGTCTATTTGGAAACCCAA